AAGCCCTAGGGCCAGTTCAGGTTGTTGTATGGAACTGTTAGCACCAACAACTGGGTGACTATGCTGTCCTCCTTCAGCTGTCGGTGTGTTTTGGCATTGTTTCCCTGTCCCTGGTGTGCACTTATTGAATTGAGTAGCAATGAAACGGCAGCTAAACGCGTACACCATAGGATGTAACCTAGGTCAGTAAGGGACACTAACCTGGTAAATAGCAGCGCATGGAATGGGACAAGGATTTTGTGTGCCCCGACCTTTTTTCATCTGGCACGTCAAATTAACTCGCTTGGGAATTTTCTAAGTTGGGTTTGCAGGCTATCAGCATCGGGGCGACCTTTGACTGGAAAGCACACGCAAGCCAAACTTACTCTGAGTAGACTATCAGCATCGGACCAAATGATTACTGAACTTGGTAGCGCTAATAAAGCGGTATATCTATCTTTGTTCTTTTTTGGTAGCAACATATTTGTGCTAAACAATTATTGTCATTCCTGGTCTTACAAAACGTGACTGTAAGATCAGGTAGCAGATAGTCGCACATTCACTGGTGTTAGGATTACAGTCCTTCAGCAACCGGTTGACACAAGGAAGAGAATGGATATACAAAGTTACCACACGGACTAAACATGGTCTCAGGAGGTTTCTATCCAACAAATGTTACGTTGTAGCCACAACTATCCTTATCTTTGTACAATTATTCCTTGTCGACTATCAGGGTAGGGGGCCGGACTCAGCGGGTCACCAACCAAACTAGGTTTGCCAAGTACTGGAGTTAGTATTCACTCTGGGGATCCCCGGCGCACAGATTTACATCTTAGACAATGTCCCTGTTAGAGACCATAAGATGCTACCGCTTAGCTCCTACCTTGAAATGAAAACCAAACTTGACTCATCTATTCATCATACTATCCAAAAGAATGACTAAGAGTAGTTCCAAAAGCTAATCCGGTCCGCCAATTGAGGTGCCTTTTAGTCTCTCCACTAGCGCCCCCATTGCAGTGGAATAATTTTACTGCTATATCCATCTTGTCATAACTATATTTGTCCCATGTTACAAACGTACCATCCCCGGTCCTAAGAATGCTAATGATACTTGGTGTGACCTGAAAACGAAAAAACTAATCTGGAAATTCAGTAAGACCGAAGACTTTCCATTAATATTATAGTTTCAGTAATCTATCACCTATATCAAGCATTCACAAATGAAGTGGACTGAAAAGTTGAAGCAGGAGAATGTCTTGAAGAGTTCAGGAAAAGGAAAACATCCAACAAAATGGTTCCGTCATAAAACTGCCATTCGGACGTCTTTGATTACCGAACTGATCAAAGTCAAAGCCAAGATAAGCTTAATGTATACAGATGGGTACCTTTTCAACACAACGGATGAGTTAAAATTACAGTATCAGAACTAAATTTGTAGAAATGGATACAAATACACTGTGTAGAAGTGCCACTTGGATAAACGATCAGTGTAAAAGAGTAACAATTAAACAGTTCAGGACAAAATAATTTAACCTCGGCATTGCAAGCTTGATTTTCAATCGGAACCGTCCATTTTCAAGTGCTCAGTATCATGCATTTTTCTCAATAATTACGTGAAGTTCAGCAACGGTGACGTTGGAATTTGCTCAACAAATATCAGTGTTGAAATCTTCTGGGAAATGTAATGTATCCATTGCGATGTTGTAAAAACGATGTTCAGTGACAACGGCACAACTGATTTAAAGGCCCCGCCTACTTGTATGGTGAGGAAGGTCGCCAGCTCAACGACTCACCTACTAATTGGAGAGGATTTATTTCATTTCATGCTTCGTTCATGAACTTAGAAATCGATCATATACCTTGCTGCCCGGCACTTGCAGCAACAATTTTTATACATAAGGTCAAGATTTTTCCTTCGATCTTACAACAGGACATGAAATCCATCAAACCATCGTCCAAACTAGATCTCGATGGCATTCCCCCTTTGATCATAAAACTCGGTAGACTTGACATATCACTACTTTTGCTGAACCTGTTCACGTTGTCAGTAGAATACAGTTACTTTCCGGGTCAGTGAATCACATCGTTTCATGCTGCTGGTTATAAACGGGGGGACGAAACAGAATGTCACCATTTATCGATCTATCCATCACACTTCTGCCATCGCTCGATTACTCGAAAAAGTAATTAAAAGGGGAGTCGTGGACTTTATCCATTTTCTTGGACTGATTAACAAATCTTAGCACGGGTTTTATGATAAACGCTCCCGCACAATTTGTCAGTTGCACTACTTTGAGTACAAAACAGAATCCACTTACTCCAATTATACAATTATAATGTTGTTCTTGGATATAAAAATGCATTCGACCGGGTGCCTGAGAAGTGGCTGCTGAAAGATCGAGTCATTTGGTATCAGGGACCCACTGCTGGGTTAGTTGACATCATACCTAAATGGGCTTCACCAGATAATTACTCTGTGACAATAAATCTTCCCAACGCGCAATTACTAGTAGTGTCATCCCAAGGAGTGTACTTAGTCCTTCCCTTTTCCTATTTCATATAAATGCTATCACGATGTTCATCAAACCTGTCAGACCCCATTTTGTTCTCCGAAGATATTTCGATAGTTCGTAAATTGTGGTGAGACGAAATATAAAGCGCAGTGTAGCTCCGTCAAGAAGACATCGATTCACTTGAGAAAGGGTACAACATATGGATGAAATGGATCTCAGCTAGTAAATCTTGTATAATGTCACACGGATGTTTGATCCCTGAAGAGTCACTTAAGCTGCATAATGAACGTGTCTGTGTGAAACTGTGTAACTGTGATCTAGTCATACGCTACTCTACAAAATTACATTTGTCAGAGCAAGCTGAGCATCAAACAGCACGCGCCAAGCGATCTATGGCTAACAAGTGCCATAAGATCCTTACAATCCTTGTCACAATCTAGCTTTCCAAAATAGACATACATTCTCTCTTTGAATACTGCAGCGTCATTTTTGGAAACATGCATATAGGTGATAGAAAAGCTCCGGAAATGTGCAAAGATCATTCGCTAAACGTCGGTTCAATAAATCATCTGCCTTAAGCTATCAAGTGTGTTGTCAACAGTTTAAACTCGAGCGTCTTTGGTTTCGACGACTGAAACATAATCTGATACTGATACAAGATATCATAAATCAAAATACTTACTCCAACCTACGCACATTAAAATTGCAACTTAACTCCACCCGGAAACGACACAAAAAGCTTTGTACGCTAATGGTGCTAAACCATGACAGCTATTCGATGCGACCTCTTCTACGTCAAATACGCTATCTGGTCCTGCAAAAACGTAAGAACATTCAGCATTAAAATTAGAAATTTACTGGACTGGAACTTGATAATAGCCACGTTTCTAACGAGTAATTCACTAAATGAGTTCTTCCAGCATGGATCAAGTAGGATATAACGCGTGACGAAAGATATTGCAACAAGTTCCATACCATCAGTCATGTGGTCAGGAACATTTTCATGACACAAACGCTCCAGAATATATATCTCACTCATGCATGGGCGTGATCATTACTGTCTTCAAGATTTGTCCCCAATTCGGGGACAGCTACTCGCACAATCGAGGAACATACACATTATTATCATAATTAGTATTTAGATAGCGGATAATTGAAAAAGAGAATGACTTTGTTAGACTTTTTTCACATGTTTTAGTGTTGCGGAACTTTGTGTGAATGTCTCCAGGATTTGTATGTTACGGGTCAGTTTTCAAGTAGGATCTTTGCAAGAGAATGATAGACGCTGTTGTTTGAGATCTTTGTAGAGTGCAATGAATATACGCATATTTCGACAAGATACTCAGAATCCTGTTATTTGCTGAATGCTGGTAACCCATTTACATATGTTTTTTGAAATGGTTAGGACCCACACAGAGTTCTCAATTGAAAATTGTACGCAGCGTCACTAATTCTGGTTGCTCCTCACTAACATCACAACGGAAGTACTAGTGTTCCGATGTCCCTCTGGACACGGACAGTCTCTTGGAATTCCATGAGTACCACGAATTACCGAAGAACTGATGAGGGTCAAGTCTTACAAATACGAGTGGCTGTCGCAGCCAGAGTTTGAGTAGCGGGATGAACGAATTAAGGTCCCGTGCTGCAACCAATGACATAAATAGTGGCAGGATAATCACTGATAATGATTCCGCTTAATCAGAAGACTAAAATACGCTCGTTCTCACAGTACCTGATAAGTAACAATTATGGTGTACGAGTTCTGTGACACTTCCCAAAGCAGCTTTTAACCTACGACGGCACAGGTCCGCACATCACCGAGGATGTTAGCCGCGACATATGAAATACATGTCCGTTTCTAGCTTTATTCTCTAGGACAGATGTGGGTGGCGTTGAATGTGACCGACTGGACGGAAGTGAATGCACGGCACATTGCATTCACATCCTGGCTGACGCCCAACATCAATTTGAAGAACAGGGGTGTTCTTCTTGACAAAGCAGCGTGACATGAGAGCAGCCACCATGGAACCGAAGTACATAACTTCGATAATGCGAATTCAGTGACATTGCCATTGTTTGTGATTCCACCGAAATCGGTGGTTGATGAAGTGATATCGCTTTGCCAACTGACATATGCACCGTGACTGTACGTTGTGACTCACTGCAAACTTTTGCGCACAGCTGGATGGCTCTGTCTAACACCATGTGGGACAAACTTCATATTAGCATCAATCTGCACGTTCAAGAAATGACATTAGTGCCATAATTCAAGGTTTAACGTATGTCCGCGTTGTATTGCAAAATTAAATTTTCTAGCTGTTCAATTTCTGATGATTGACATAGTGATAGATGCACCGCATGTACAATACTGAACATAGATTGAATATTTAGAACCGAAATAAGAAGAATCGATGCGTAATTTCAGCTGCAAGTGCAGAAAGCCATCTGGTTGCCGATGTCGGATAATGTCTTTATTAACAAATACTTTCTGGCTCGAATTTCAGCTTCTCACATCGGTGCGTATGTGGATATCAATCCGTTGCATGATGGACAAGTGTGATCGACATCTTTGCATTTCTTCAGACAAAACGGTATGAAGCAGCATCCCAAAGCACCACTGATTAAAGGAGATTAAAGGTCAAAGAAGAATGTGCGTTAGGATGTTCTCAAGCGTGAGGACGCTCAGGATATGCGCGAAAACAGGCACAAATTTGCGCGGTAATTCATAGGAAAAATAGCAGTGTTTTAACATTTTTTGTTGGCTTTGTGTTAGTTGCATGACAAAATGTTGAAAGCTTTTATTAATAGGAAACAAAGGGACGATTGTTTCCCCCCACTCTTGAACACACCTATGGAAATACTTGTATTTGTACTTAACTGAATTTTCCCAGCCGCTGTAATGTGTCTAGTAAGGGGTTAAAATTAACTGTAGTTTCTTTTATTTATATTACTTTGTGGATGAGCTCTCAGATATCCTCATTAAGGTCCATAGCTTCAAGTTACAGGATGGCACTGTTATAGACCAAGGGTAACTATAAACTTGTAATACTGGTCGGATAACTAAAAAATGACCAGTGGGGGCCGAATAACTGAAAACATGTCTTGTGTGTGCCGGATAACTAACTTACTGGTCAGCATGAGTCACAAAACATTGTGTACCGTACATTGAAACCAGAACAAAAACTATAGGAAAGCACACAAAGACTACGAGACACTTGGTGTTCTCTTTTCTTATCTTAGTAACCTTGGTAAAGACTGAGCTAAAGAGGATGTGAACAAGAAAAGACATAGAACTACCAAAATTAGAAATCCAATTGAACAACAATGAGGAATGGATTTATACGCGTTAAGAAGCATTGCTTACAAGTCCCATTGCATAATTGGTGGGGATATCGAATTACCAATAATGATAATAAGGATAGTAAAAGAGTTGGCACTTCAACTATGAAAATAAGGAAATTATCGTTTGCTCATCCGTAGTACTGCAACCCACTTAGCTTCACAGCACTTGCAGTTAACACCAAACAATTCCGTGGGAAACGACAGGTGAAGGATGGCGACGTAGTGTTAAGTGCCAAAGTGTAACTGGATGAGTGCGTCGTCCAACCATCTTTTAAATACTGTTAGTGTCGGTGTAGAGACGACGGATTCTGGGAGAGCATTCCACGGGTGACAGACACGAATGGAAAAGAAATTTCTGCAGCACTCCAGACGACTGTATTGTTCTGCGAGTTTTAATGCGTGGCCCCTCAGGTTTGTATTGCTGCTGAGTTGCAGTAAAGGGTGGCATATATGATGTGGGTCCTGCAAGATCACGTATGCCATAAGCAGGTCGCCTCGTATTCTGCCATAGCTTCCACTGAATACCCCCAATCGTTGCAGCCCCTCATGGTAAGAAAAATTGCGTATTTCAATTACGTTCTTAGATGCCCGACGTTGTGACTGCTCCAGTGCATTAAGGTCGTGTTTCAGCCATAGATGCTAGGCTTGAACTGCGTATTCGACATGGGGGCGAACATACGCACTGAGCAGTTGTCGAAATATGGAGCTATTTATTTGTCCAAACCTCCGTCGCAACAGCCCGATGTGTTGATTTCCAGTCTTTGGGGCTTTTCGTATTAGGTGAAGCAATCGGTCATTTTGAACCAGCACACCCGAGTCACGTTCGACAGTTGTTTATCGCAGTACATTGGTTCCGAGCCGGTAGGAGTAGCTGCTGTGCTGCCGGATTGAAGTACCTTGAATTTACTGACGTTGAAATGCATTAAGTTTTGGGCTGACCATTGATACACAGACGGCATTCCCATCGCGGACGAAGGAGGGCATACGGAAATGTCTGCAGCACATCGGTTGGCACTGTGCTGATTGGCGTGCGCAGTGTGTAGAGTCTCGAGTTTCGCTCACGCCAATAATTATCCAACCGTCCTCCCTTTCACCGCTGCAGCGACGTCAGTGTACACCCTCGAACTCGACATGCTTGACATCAGATGACTCACTAATACAACTTACCCGGAATGTGGCAACCGAAGACATCCATGCTGCCAGCATCCCCCCATCGACGAACAAGGTTGCTCGACGTAAAACATACAATAATACTTCCGCTGCAACAGTTGCTTCATCCACAATACAGAACGCCAACCCCACCATGCTGACTGGGTTCTGTCTACTTCCCGTGGATCTGGATGCATCACAAAGCACTCTGGAGGACGTTGTATTGAGGCGAGACGATTCACCCTTAAACGCGGACGATAGATTAAACTCCCAATGGGATCCACTGCCCACGTCCACACTTTTGCCTCTCAGTGCTCCTGCTGACTTGATCAATCCTCACTCCCTTTCCGCAGTCTCAGTTTCGCACTCTACCACACAGATGGTCGATGACACAGCCCCATTCCGCGTTCTGCTCGCGGAAGCTCAACGATTGGCGCGTGGGTGCAAAGCTGCCAATACCGAACCACATTCCCTGCTTCTCAACATGTTGCTTTCCCTACCGGACGACATCTCGCGGGAACAGTATAGTAGAGAGCTTAATGCCGCATGTACCAGCCTATTCCCTCGTAGATGGGCGCCGACGAAACGCAAAAAGATACCACCAGTCATTAAAACAATCAACAACGCCGACGCCTACAATATGGCCACATCCAACGTATCTATCATACGAGGCGTAAAGATGCAGCAGCAACCGTTATTGATGGCAGATGGAGAACGGCCTTCCTACAAGAAGACGATCGTATCCCTGGCTTTACGAACTTCTGGACAAAAGTCATTTCTCAGCCTCCAATACATGACGACCGTCCACCTCGCAATATCCTCCCCACTAACCCGGATTTCGTGAGACCTATCACCCAAGAGGAGCTGCGCGCAGCAATTCGTCAGGTGCAAGGCTCTGCACCGGGGGTTGACCGTGTCACACCGCGGGATGTATTGAGAATAGACCCCGTTTTTGTAACAACGTTTCTCAACGCTCTCCTTGCTTCTTCGCCCTTCTCTTCACACATGAATACAGCACGGATCACGTTTGTTCCCAAGGCAGATGCGCCCTCTTCTCCTGAGTTATTTCGGCCTATTTCCGTCACTTCCGTCTTTAATCGTCTGCTTCATCTAATCCTATTTGACCGCTGGGTTCCCACTTATTCTTCAAATCGTCTGCAATTCGGCTTCCTACGTAAGGATGGATGGTTTGAAGCTCCTGCGATAATGCACGCCGCACTGCGACACGCGCATTCTTCATACTCTCCACTTTCCTTTGCTTCAATTGATACTTCCAGAGCCTTTGATTCTCTTTCTCATCAATCCTTACTACGCTCAGCCTCTGCTTTTGGCGCACCCCCTCTGCTACTGGATTACCTTGCTTCATACTACTCTTCAGCTACTTCCACTTTCAACAATGTTCACCTTCATCCGGATCGAGGAGTTAGACAGGGAGACCCATTCGCTCCTTTACTATTTATCATGACGCTGGACGAAGCTCTGTAAGATTTACCCTCTGAACCCTGGACATCCCCAGTAGGGCCAATTGATTATCTCGCCTACGACGATGACGTCTTGATATTTGCTCAGGACGAGTTTTCGCTGCAGAAGCGCTTGCGACATTTCAGTGATAAACTGGCCCTCATGGGATTATCCACCAACCAGATGAAGTCAACCTCCGTCAACATTGTAGTGGACCGTTCAAGAAAACCAACAATACTGGACACCGCCCCTTCGGACCGTGGAGATTGCATTATACCTTCCTTGCAACCAGAAGAGAAATTCACGATGTTAGGCTTGCCTTTTAGTTGGAAAGGTAAGCTCCCGCCAAATTCCGCAAGATAGTTACGTGATCAACTGGAAGAAGTTACAAAAGCGCCCTTAAAACCCTACCAGCGCTTGGAGCTTCTGAAGACGTTCCTGCTTCCAAGGCATCTTCATAAACTCTGCTTGGCCGTTGTCCACAAACAGACGGTAAAACGCATGGTCAGACTTGTTCGAGCACATGTGAGAAAATGGCTCCGGTTGCCCACGGACACAAATCTGGCTTATTTCCAAGACTCAATCGGCGATTTGGGTATCGGTATACCCTGCTTATCTGCCACTATTCCATTGTTACGGAAGGACCGATTAGAACGACATCTTAATAATGCACACCCAATTACTAGCTGAGCCATCTGAGATCCCGCAGCCGGCTCCATTCATCGACTGGCGCGCGCTAATGTTACCATCGGCAACCGAGTAGTGATGGACAAAGTAGCAACCGCGGAAGCATGGAAAGACGCTCTACTTACCTCAGCAGACGGGTGCCCGCTCCGGGGAGTGGTCACCACGCCCGCTGCACATCACTGGCTGCGGAATCCGGCTAGGATATTCCCTGGACTGTTCTTTCGAGCAATACAGCTTCGAGGTGGGTTACTGTCTACAAAAGTACGACGCGCAAGAGGACGACCGCCTGAGACCCAATCCGAGCTACTATGTCGCGGCAACTGTGGACAAAAGGAGACTCTGTCTCATGTCCTACAATCATGTGGCATCAACCATGAAGCACGATGTAAACGCCACAATGTCATTGCAGAGCAAGTCGCCAAAAAACTCCGCAAACGAACAGTGAACATCGTTCTCGAACCAAGAATTCCAACAGCGACCTCATTCATCAAGCCAGATATACTCGCAGTAAAGGGATCATCGGTGCACGTCATGGATGTCGGAATTTGTGACGCCGACCGGATGGCGCGTACGCACCAGCTGAAGGTCGACAAATATGGCTCCGGAAATAACGCATCAATGATCTCGAATTATATAAGCGCACAATTCCCCAAAACACGCGAGATTTACCACCATCCAATTATCTTAAACAATCGGGGATTTATATATCCGGCTTCGGCGAAATACTTATCAACTCTCGGCTTCACCAAACTCGACATCTCGGATATCTGCTTCTCCACCCTCCGATTATCACTGATGGTATATGATACATATATGAGGGGAGCTTCCTCCCAGTCCTCCTAAAACGATTCCCGCAACCTGCTATTTCATACATTCAGTGTCGGATTACACAAACACACGGTGACCACGGAAGCGGTTCCGCCCAAAAGTTTTGAAGTCTACTTAAAACCAATGATTATTATTATGCCGGGGCATTCG